GCGACACTACCGGTTCATTGCGACGCACTAAAAGAGTCTTTTTGAAGCGAATTGATTGATGGGTGGAACTGGTAACGCGCGTTTGGGGCGATTATTATGCATTAATGGTTAGCCTGCATTCAGTATAATATAAATTCATTCAAAATGTGCTCACTGGATGTCACTAAATTGTCAATTGACCTTTCAAACTGGTTCCTCTCTCTACTTCAAGCTTCATTGTTGAACCTTGATTGTAAGAATACATCCCACAATTCTACGAAACCTGACGATGTTGGCTTGAATAAATATAAAGAAAAAAAAGATGGTCCAGACAAAACATTACAAATAATGAAGCTGCAAAAATAGCAGCTTGCTTTGATTTCAGCTACCCATTTTTCAAACGTCCCGAGTGTTGGTTCACCTGGGAATTGACACGGCACGCCATCTCAACGCGTTCAGCTGCACGTTTAGCAGCTTAAGTGCGGCAGCATCTTTTCGCGTGTGTCAGGAAAGTTGTCCCTGGAACTTCTACGCAGATTCTGAGCCGCGTCAAGTTTTAATGGTAGCTTCCTGCTTTGCACTTGCTCTGATTTGTCAGACGAAACCTTGCGACAGCATGCCTTACCGCCACGGTTGAGTCTTTCTGCTGCACATTGCGCAGCCTATACATATGACAGCTTTCTCTTAAGAGTTGTGTAAGCCGACAACTCTACAGAGCAACTCCTAATATACCGTGCTTTAGGAGCAATGCATCAGGTCTTGCGTTGCGCGGAGCGCGCCACGTTAGTTACTCAGAACATGGTCCTATGTGCACGCACCTACATTTTTATACGCAATTTTCGCAAGCCAAGTGCCTTAAGCAGGCGCAATTGGAAGTGTTTACACTGAAATGCTGCGTGAACTAAATCTCCTATGCGTTAAATAAAACGAATAATGACACCACCGTGCACTGTGTGCGACCAATCTGAACTCTGTATCTGAATATACAAACGTTTCACCTTTCATAGAGTTGAATGTGGCAGCTTCGATTCCAGCCACGACGCTCGCGTTTCGATGGCGGCGAAATGGCTCGTGCTATGTTGGTGCATGTAAAAAAACAAAAGAAGCATCACACGGCTTCACAGCCCTCTCATAATCACATCGTGGTTTCGGCGCTTAAAACTGCAGGTATGTGTGTCACGTAATATTTTCCGAATAGAAAATGAAACTAATGTGTAACCGATTGTTAACATCGGCTGTCCTTAGTGCGCGTGCGGTGAAATTAGTGACGATTGATGTACTCATTACGTTGCTTACAAAACGCTCAATGCACTCACGACAACTGTCAAAACAGGTGACGCGGTTGGGTAGCCATCCTGCAATACACACTTTTGAGGAATACCTGAAAATATTGGGAATAAGTGATACCCCAAACGGATTATTCATATCTGCGTATCATTATGAGGCCCGCCGAAGTGGAGAGCTCCGAAAATTTGGACCATCTGGTAATCTCTAACGTGAACTGACATCGCAAAGAACGCGGGCCTGTACCATTTCGCCTCCGTCGAAATGTGACAGCCGCGGCTGAGATTCGAACATGTTTTTATGTGTTAGGTCGCTTATATTACAACCGGATGATTAGTTGATACCAGACAACTGACACCATGGCTTGGGCAATGGAGTTAACCTGCGCTACTGTTTTGTTCGGCATCAATTTGTGGATTCGCCTACACCTCAATACTAAATCATATTCGCTGTCAAGCGATCCCCTGAAAAATGTGAATGTAACAGTTAGGAGGAACTTGGCCTTCGCAAGCAGAAGATTGTGTGGCTCCGGCCGTTCGAATCGTCTGCTCAATGAATCGCCTCGCTTCTCGCCACATGCGTCATCCGAGCCGCAAAGAAACGAGCATCCAGCCCGTGATAAGTTATCCTAGAATGCCCACAGGTGCCAAGTGGCCACAATTCTTCCTGGTGCGAATTGGCGAAGCACCACCCACCACGCGTCAGTAAAGTGCCACGCGCACGTGCAAACTTTATCGGTGGTGATGATGACGTCGCTTAAAATCACGATTGTGTGCGAGCGCTTTGCAGTGGCGGAACCTTTAAAACACGCACTCGTTGCACAAGTCGCATGTTTTGACACCTGGCGCCATTCTACGCACATGCATTAAGGAGACTCATCCGACTACGCGACACTCATGTAGCGTTTTCTTTCGCAGCAGTTTCAAGCAATAGTGAGGCTCTGTTACTCTGATTATGTTAAAATCGGTAATGCTAACGTCAAACGTGCTTGAGTTGATCTGTTTCAACAGTTTTTTGTGCGCCACACTGGAAGATTTTAAGTGGGTATTGTTCAAGAGAACACCAAAGATATCAAATTAATTGAAAGAGTAGCTACAACAGCCATTCACATAGAATGATGGTCGTGATAAGTGACCAGGCCCACGGGGTGTTTAAGCCGCTTGGTACAAGTTTTTGGCCAGTCCCACACAACACCGAAACCCATAGAGACCGAGAAGGTGAAGCTATTTCTTTTATTAACCACGATTATAAAATATCGATCATGATAATGTCGGTAGTCGGTCTACACTAGACAAGTGAAGATCTTTGAAACCACGACATAAGTAAAGGCAACGACGGTGTAGCAGTGGCCGGCCATTAATGCGTATTTTGCCGGCGTATACGCTCTGTGTTGCGACACGTGTGATACATGTAAAATATACTGGTAATAAAAAAGGAAAATGTACAACAGAAAGCGCCAGACGAAAGGTCCAATTCTCACTTGAATTGAAGTTCTTGATATTTATTTTTTTGCACGTTTTTGTGTTTGCCTTCCTGCACACCCCTAAATTTTCGCTCAGAACCAACAGACACCGACACCGAAATTTATAAGAAATAACCTTTTTAACGGTGTCGCTGAACAAACGAGGCATTGAATGTATCACACGCGCAAAATGGCTTTGGTGCAACCTGCTTGAAAAGTGTTTATCTCCGGAGGAGAAACTGTATCAATATAACAACTTTCATGTCATTGGGCACATATGGTAACATTATCCTATATAATTACATGTTCGTGATTGATTGTCTTGCAGTTCATCGCATAATAATGTATTATTTCTGTATACTGGTTTTTCAGTGAATTTGCGAAAGAAGAACCAACACGAGTTTGATGTGATGTACAGAAGATTGGGCAAGTTGTTGCATTTGAAAATCTTCTTAGTAAACACAAATTAAAAATTTAGCGGTCGTTCTGTAATCTCCCTTTTTGCTCCTGCCGTTTTTGTTTCCAGTGCATCATGTTTTACTTTTCTCTTTTATTCAAAAATCATTTGTTGTTCTTGAAGCACCCGGCGTCTGCAATAGTTAATAACACGTCCGTGTTCCACCGAATAACTCAGCTACGATAATCAAGTTGTATTACAGCTCGACTGCTTATGCGCGTGTCGCGGGATCAAAACCCCGGTTTTTCATGGACGAGAAAACGCTGGAGGCCAATGTATTTAGGCACATGTTAAAGAACACCGGGCTGTCAAGATTTTTTGAACCCTGCATTACGGCGTCCCTCATAATCATATCGTGGTTTTTGCCCGTCAAAGCACAATACGATTATTGGCTCCCTTAAATAAATTGACCAATAGATGTGTGAGATATATCAGCATAGATTTTCTTTAGTTATTCTTGTTGAAATCTGAGTATACATAACAATTGGGAAATTAATTTTTTCACTCGGCAGCAACTATCTGTAGTCGACTGAACCTTGCGAATCAGTTGTCGTCTTTAGAAAACGAGCATTTTTACTACGCAAATAGGACATGTTTGTCCATACTGTCACAAATATGAGCTAAGTATTTGGCCATACCAGAGTACAGATACGCTAAGCTTCAGCGCTGCAAACGGTAAATCGCCGTAGTAAATGCTATAGCTGTAATGCAATGGACTCTATCAAGAAAGTCTAGCCTTGCTGACATAATATTTCTAAGAAGCGCTTTGGAAGTACACGGTATTAAATAGACAAACGAATGAACAAATAAATAATTATTCAAACAGACAAATGAATAAACAAATAAACCAATAAATAAATAAAGGCTGCTTATTTCCGCTTCATCCAAGGGGTACACATCTGCTTTGCGGTTACAGAGTTGCACTTCCAGGCACGAGGACGCTGGTTCGAATTTTTGATTGATTGATTGATATGTGGAGTTTAACGTCCCAAAACCACCATATGATTATGAGAGACACCATAGTGGAGGGCTCCGGTGATTTCGACCACCTGGGGTTCTTTAACGTTTACACAAACCTTAGCAAACGGGCCTACAACATTTCTGCCTCCATCGGAAATGCAGCCGCCGCAACCTGGATTCGATCCCGTGACCTGCGGGTCAGCAGCCGAAAAGCTTAGCCACTAGACCACCGCGGTGGGGCCTGGTTCGAATTCTCGCCGCCGTGGTGGCGTTTTGATGGGGGCGAAATGTTAGAACATCTACGGGCATACACTGGCGTGAACGTGATGGAATCGTAAGTAGTTAAAATAATTCCTCACTTCTGTGTGCGTCACAGTTCCGTCATATTTATTACCCCTAAGACCACAGAATGGTTTTTATTTCTTCCTGCGCTGCTCTAAACTATATAATGTTCAGCCTTGAATCATGACACTTTTTTTGCAACAAAATAGGTAATATCAACATTCACGTGGTTCTGAATTCTTTCGTCTAGCTTGGTGTCAAAACCTCGCTCTTCTTTTCAAGCGAAAGCTAGCCGAGGGAGTATCGCTGTGCGTCTCGACGTGGCCTTGAAGCGAAACGACACGTGACTCGAAACTAAGTCGTGTAGTTGAACGAGTCTCAAGCGAACACATTCGTCAGCTCGTCTGTCTACATCTCCGAATGTCCTCTTTCAATGCCCCAGGTAAAAACGCAAAGAGCGCGCGTCTGCTAGCATTATTACCCTTTTCTCTCGAAGCACAATGTTCTAGAAAAGCTTTCTAGAAAATTGCGCATCGGTAGAACCGCTTCTGCAATTGTGAGGGTGACAGCACTTACTCCTTATACTTTCTAGGTTGAGCTTTCGCAGTCCTCCGATGACACGCAACAGAGAGAGGAAGCAATCCGTGTTGAGGTCGAGCCCGGCGACAAGCGTCGTCAGCTCGGGCAGCAGCTGGTCGAGAGCCCCATTGGTGAGGTTCGAGAGCTTGCGTTCGAGCACTTCCCAGTCGGCCTGGACATCGTAGGAAGCCCTCGGTTCAGCCTCCCCCGTCACACCACTGTCCGCCGTCAAAGGATCCTCTACACCAGAAGTGGAATCGATCGACTCGACCGTTGTCGTCGCCGGCGGAGGAGACGCGACACACAGCGCCACGCCACCCGCAAAGACAGACACGAGCAGAAGCACGACGACCGGAGAGACACCCCGACAACCGTGATTAGGACACCCCATCGTGTATCGACGACGACAAGATGCCGCAGCACGCGGGCATCGGCCCCGACTCGCTACGTGATACCTTTCGTGCTGTTTTGTGAGATGCCTCTGCGTAGCGCGGCGTGGAGCTCGTTCAAATGGGGCGTCACGATGTGTGCGGCGGAGCTTTTAAAAGCGCGCCATCCCTCTTTCCTGCACTAGAGGCCGAGATGCGGAAAGCAACGACGACGATTTTCTTGGTCAAGGTGGTCTCGCTCTCGACGAGAGAGGTGGTCTCCCCCACCGGTATTACTGGAGAGGGCGCTACGCTCAATCGTCATCGTCACCGGCTGCTTACTCAGAAGATGTAGGAAACCCCAAATGGTCGGGTATATTCACGCCTGAGGAGACGTACGCCTTTTTTTCCTGTTAGTGTAACAACCACCCCCATCTAGCAGCCATGTGTAATGCAGACCGGCGCAGTAGGTTCAAATGCGTCTATAGCTTCAAACACCTGGTGGCGAACGTACTACGTTGATTTCCGCTCTATATCAAGGCACTCAAGTGAACCACCCTTCCCAGCCGGCTGCTTTTATTGGTCACGCAAACACTTCTTCTCTTCTACTTCTCATTTAGTGCGCAATGAATTAGCATATAAATGTATCACTGTCCTAGTGTCCGTAAATCACTGGTGATTTACGTAGTGAGGAATACCGTTGATGCAGCTTTGCTTTAAGACGCATGTTTTTATGCCTGCTAATCATTAAACACGTGGGAAACAATATACTGTTAAAAAGGAGAGAATAGGCATGTGCACTGCCAAGTGAAACTTTAATAGTCCACTGAACACGTGCACACTGCTCCAGCAGGTTTCCACTCAAGTCGAGACTCGAAACGCGAAAGGAAAAGAAAACTTTGGAATAGGTGGACAGAGGGACGCAAAAAGTACGCGAAAAATTTGGATGCTCAAGGTGCGCTTTCTGTCCTTGACTTTTCATCAGATTTCTCACTACTGAGAGCATTTCCTTGTATATCAATGCGAGGCCAGCCTCTAATGCTAAGGGCAAGTACGCTGAGATGGAGTTGAGAGGCCAAGATTACGGGTGAGCTGTGCGGAAGCCGGTGGCGTACTTGAGGATCGCAAACTCACTGCGCCGAAGATACGACGGCGTTCGCACTCTGCTATCGACGTTTGGGGAAAAGAGATTGAAATACGCCAGTTGCACACCCGAATCCTTGAGAGTTGCCAGCATCAAATTACACAGGGCCAGCCTCGGAAGCGTGTCCTTTTGAAACACCGGCGAAAGGAAGCGTAATTATTTCCATTGCCTCGTTTACACATGTGGCAATCACACGCGCACCTGCTTGCCGAAGCACTGTGTATTGCGCCCGCTGAGTTATGCCTGCGCTTCATGAAGACTAAAAGTGCCTTGTGTAATTTAATAAAGACCAATAAGTGTTCCTCTTGTCACAAAGACAGGTTGACTGAAAGAGCACTACCCGTTAAGCTGAGTTGAGTTTAGGTGACCGCGTTGGGCGCGCTTTGCTGCGAAGTAACAAAACAGTTTGTCCTTGGATGAAGCCTGACGCATTAATAATAGGCTTTCATAGAGAATGAGTGCGATTTACTTCAGGGCTCTCACATTTGCTCGTTCTTGACATATTCTGACTCGGGGAAAAATAGGTCGTGGGACGTCTGTAACCAAATTTCATGTAAAACTCTAATAAGTGCCCCTCGTAGACATGACGACAAAAGTGGAAAACGTCTGGTTTCAATACAGTACCCTTGATTTGGACGGCCACCGCCACCGAAGCTCAAAAAGCTGAACGAGTTATAAAAGGTTTTATGCGTGACACGTGAACAATTTCCGTGCTGCGACGACGGTGGCCAGTGACGCACTGAAGCGGGGTCACGAAATAGTTCACTGGGGAAGTTTGTCGTAGAACGGTGCGTGGGCTGACGTGCCAGTGAAGAACTTTTTCGCAAAGCCCTGATGCTCGAGTCCGGGTCCATAGTAAAACCTTTTCTGAGCAATGAAAGGTCACGTCGCGTCTTTTGCTATCAAAGCGACGTTTTCGTTCTTGAGCGGCTTCCGTGTTGCACCGAGCAATTTTACGGCATTGCGCGGCTCATGTTGCGAATTTGTCTGGTAGGGAAGTACTGGACGGAGCTTTTACAAAGAAGAATGCCGTATCGAAGAATGAGGATGCAGATCGTCCACACACAATGCAGAAAGGGCTGTAGCCGAGAGATATTCGTGTTGCGGTATTATGTGTGAAGGTGACAAACGCCAAAATATTGTTCCAGTTTTTTTTTATCCGGACGTAGGTACATGGAGATCATGTCAGAGAGTGTTCGGTGAAAGCATTCAGTAAGGCCGTTCATCTGTGGGTTGTACGTAGAAGTGATTTTATGCATCATTCTACAGGCCCGTAGGACTTCCGCGAGGACGCGAGATAGGAAGTCTTTGCCCCGGTCACCCAGAAGAACGCGGGGAGCTTCATGGCGCAAGACGATTGGCTGCAAGAAGAAGTCGGTGGCTTCTGTAGCTGAACTGGATCGAAGAGACGCAGTCTCGGCGTATCTTGTCAAATGATCGACTGCAGTGACGATCCAATGGGGACTATTAGACGTCAACGGCTAGGGACCATACAAGTCGGTTCCGACAAAATTAAAAGGTGTTGTTGAACAGGGAAGAGGCTGCAGGAAACCGGTTGGTGGAGACGTGGATCGCTTACGGTGCTGACATGGCGCGCCCGAGCCGACGCATTTGGTTACCGACGTATTCAAGCTAGGCCAGAAACAGCTGGATTTGATGTGGTCGTAGGTCTTGGGAAAACATTGATGACCAGCAGAAATGTCATCGTTTATGCTTCTAAAATGTGAAGACGAAGGTAGCGGTGAAGGACTGGCACTTACTTGTTACCCGTGGGATGATAAATATAGTGTTCGAGCACACCGTTGTCGAAGCAAAATTGTCGAAGCTGGCGTCTGAAGCGGTTTGTGTGGTTTAGTGATGCCGCGATTGTAGTCACTGAAAGATCGACAGTAGATGTCGGCCCTCTGAAGTGAAGGCAAACCGGATTATGAATAAGGTTGAATTTGGTCCAGTGAGGCGATCGACAGGTGTCTTGAGGCAGGCGAAATGTTGGAGCTCCCAGGATGCGATGCCAAGGGCGTATTGTCGAAATAAATTGAAAGTGGGAATCGGGAGAGGGCGTTGGCATCATGATGACCTTTGCCAGACTGATATGTGGTAGTAAAGTCATATTCTTGCAAGCGCAGCGCCCAACGCCCTCGACGTCCTGACATATTCTGCATCGAGGACCGCCAACTGTGCGTGATGGTCTGTGACGATAGTGACGTGCCGATCGTAGAGGTACGGGCAGTATTTGTGTATCGACGAGACAATAGCGGCACTCTTCTTCAGTGATCGTGTAATTCTTCGTGTAGCACGCTGTGGCATACGCCAGTTCAAGTGGTGTATGCCACAACCTGCTCTTTAGAGGGGGCATCATGTTGCAAAAGTGCAGTTCTGTTACCTTGCGTGCTTGCGTCAGTGTGGAGAATAGTTGGCGCTCTCTAGTCGAAGCAGTGAAGCAATGGGGGGGGGGGGGGAGTCAGAAGTTTTTAAGGACTTTAAATGCGAATTCGCAGTCGTCGGACCAAGCGAAAAGAACACCAGCGACTAATAGCTTATTTAGGGGAGCCGCCATTGTCGCGAAGTTGCGTATAAAGCGACGAAAGTAGGATGCCACGCCAAGAAAACACTCAACATCTTTTGGGTGGACGGTCGAGGAAACTGCAACACAGCGGCTGTCTTGTCGGCATCTGGCCAGACTCCATCTTTGGAAATGACGCCACCGAAGAATTTTATACTTTTGTTGGCAAACATGCACTTTTTGGTATCTATCTAAAGGTCAGCGTTCAAAAGGCACCGAAGTGCTTCGTCTAATCGTTGAAGGTGTTGGGTAAATGTAGACAAAAACACAACAATATTGTATAAATAACAAAGACAGGTCTTTCCATTTAAGACCACGAAGAACAGTGTCTATCATGCGCTCAAATGTTGCCGGAGCGTTGCACAGGCAAAATTGCATTGCAATAAATTTGTAGAGTCCACCCGGTGTAGCAAATGCGCTTTTTTATTTGTCACCCTCATTCATGAAGATTTGCCAATACCCCGATCATAGGTCAAGGCTGGAAAAATAATTCGCTCCTTATAATGTGTCTAAGGTGTCATCGATTTGAGGCAGAGAATATACATCCTTGCCCTTGCTCCTTTTTAGCGCAGGATAATCAACGCAAAAACGAAGATAACCATGTTTCTTTTTTTCACTAAGACGACCGGACAAGCTCCGAAACTGGAAGATGACCGTATTATCTTGCGTGATAGCATATCGTCAACTTGTTTTTCAATAGGTTTCCTTTCTGATTGCGAGACACATAAGGCCGACAGCGTATAACACCAGGACCATCGGTTTCAATGCAATGTACAACAGTGGTAGTCTGGTAAAGTGTCATGGCACAACTATCGAAGCAGGCTTTATGCTTAGCTAAATGTGCCAATAATGCTGCGGACTGGGCAGGTGTTAGATTTGAACCAGTGATTGCGCGGAAAAAGGAACAACTTGCACCTGACGTGGACAGTGACGATGAAGACAAGCAAAGTGCATCGATGGAGGTCAGTGGAGAGGCGTCTATCGTCGTTACAGTCATCCCCTTGGGTAACATCATTGATTCTGCAGTTGTGTTTAAAATGGGCAGAATCACGTGGACATGAGAGAACCGGAGCAGACAGGAGGCTACGAAAACTCCACAAGAACGGAAGTGAGGAGCAGGGGAAACTAGGGTGTCACCATCGGCTACTTAGCTAGATGAAACAGCTACAACGTGTTCATGACCAGGACACAAAACACAGTCTTAAGCGACAACGAAGTTGAGGACCAATGAAGACGGATCTGACAGAAATGCTTCCGATGTATCTCCGATGTGAACAACGTGTTTTTTACATGTTATGACAGCGGAGGCGCAATGTAGGAAGTCCCAGCCCAGGATAAGATCATGAACACACATGTGTAGCACAATCATTTCGATGTGGTGACGTAAGCCGTCGATGAAAACACAAGCCGCACACTGTACATCAG